GACCACCTGACCGTGGCTGTGCTAACAGCAGCTTGTAGGCATTGTCACCAAAGAGCCGCATGGTCTCCACAAGGCAGGTTTTTGCGATAGGTAGTCCCAAGCTCTCCATGGGGTACTCGTCAATGCTTGGACGACGTTTGCAACGACCTCATCAACCAAACTGGCTGACTTATTTTGTTGTAGAGACTGGATCGCGGTAAAGAAGCCCAGGTCCAAGATGTAGGTGTCCGGGGAGGTAGGCGGCTGCAGAACGAACGAGAAGACCCAGCCATTCTTGCCGTATTCGTCGAAGGCGGCCTTGAGTTGCGCGTTCATGCGGGTGTCGTTGGTGTAGCACCACCGCCTTGGCGGGGTTTGGCCATTTTGCCGCAATCGAGGGCAGGACTCTCTCGAGAAAGAAGGCACGATATACCGTACATCCTTTGTAACCGCGATTGACTTGATTTCGTAGGCACCAGCAAGGCGGTTGACGCTGGCGCGTTGTGCTGGCACCGACTCGACGAACAGCCACGTGCTCGTTTCGTCGATGTATCTTGGGCGAACAGCGCAGAGGGGCGTAACCCGTGTAATGTACCTTTGCTTTTACATGTTCGTTGTGGTTCGCGTTTCCAAGGAACAAGGTGTGGGCACGGAACAAGCCGAGTTTCAAGTATCGGTGCAATGACCCACGACTTATTCCTATTAAATGCTTAGATGAAGTTGCATATTCTGTCATACCAGTGTTTTCAGATATTGAACGAAGCGTTGTTCGTTGTGCAAGAGGTACCTGCAGCAGCTTGGCCTTAACGCGCTCGGCAGTGTATGCTATTTTTGCCTGCTTTGCCTTTCTTTTTGTTTGCTACAGACACTTTCATGTTACCATGAGAGACGCCTTGGGCATTGGCCAAAGCAATGATTCGGCGTATAGCACACATGTGGCACTGGTACTTTGCAGCCAGCGACTGACTTGTGCCTTTAGGCAGCCGAGTGGGAAAGCCGTTGTTGCTTTGGAGCAGGACTTCCCGAAAGATGGCTTCGCGCTCCTCGTTCGTCAGGACGGGCCGTGTTGATGACATTAAATGTGTGTCATTTCTGATGTATGCTTTATATGGAGGTTTGTATGAGGCCTTTGACTCGGCAAAAATGACCCGCATTTTTTAGATTCATGCTCAAACTTACACACTTAGAAAGCTCTTGGGCACTCTGTGCAATGATCCAATCAGAGGTGTCGATTGCCGAATTGAGGAAACATACGCACAGCCTGAATTTGTCTTCATTTAATTGTCAGTCATGTACACCCTCTTCAAACTCGTGCAATTCTTGTGGGACAGAGGGAGTATTAAAGAGTTTTTCAATACACAAACTACCAGATTGTCATGAGAATTGTTCCTTCTTGGTGCAGGAATTAAATAATTCGGCTGCGTTCAATGTCACGATTCCAATACGGGCCCACGATACCTTTTCGATGCAATGGAGGTACAGTACACCGCAATCTCCTATCTGACGACCCAAACCCCACAACAATGTATCATCTTCATGCTTAAGACGGTCAGAGCGATAACATATACAGTTCTGTACCACCGATGTCAGTACCAAACAGCTTGCAAAGTGTGTTGCTATTATACTCATGTCTATGTAACTTGTTCTATTTTCTACTCCCTCTGTCCCAAATTACTTCCTTAGATCAGTAATAGGGTTTACGGCTCCTTGAATATATAGATACGTGCACTTCCGTAATATATTCTGAAAATCCATTTTCAAAAGTGTAACGATATAACTTACCAATGACAAAAGAAAACATGAGCCGTAGAGCGAGTCAAACGACGAGATATGACAAAAATGACACTGCCAATCGCTTCCGGAGGGATGTTAACCCTAAGAACCCTCCTAACATTCAGTACCTGTCCTTTCAGATATCAAGCACATGGTAGTTCGCTGAGCGAGCGGCACTTGCAGTAGCTTAACTTTTATTGTTCAGTAGTGGAGGCCATCTTTCTGCCCATCTTGACCTTCTATCTGCTGGAAACCGACGCCTTCATGTTGCCGACGACAACTTCCAGTTGCTCGGCCTGGGCGAAGACTGTGGATGGTTGGATGGTGACAGCCATACTTGCCCCATACCACCTGTGCGATGCCGCTGGGCAATCGAGAGCGACCTAGGTCTATTTTCCTGCGCATTTCCCCGTCATAGACACATGAATTGGAAGCTCTTGGAGCGCTTGTTCATTTGGACGGATCATGCAGGTGAAATATAACTTAGTCGACAGGCGAATATAATGACGAGTCATATGTCCCCTCCGCAAAACTACTAAAGTATTGTGGCACGGAGAGAGTACTGACTTACACTGTTAACATGAAGAATATTTTTAGCCCTATTTATAGATTATATTTGGGGTCAAAATTTTTCTCCGATTGACTTCGCAGTAGCTTCACATGAATCTGCAATCGGTATAGCTTTACACTGTTAATGCTTCTACTACCTCTGTCCAATTATAAATGTTCGTATTTGACAATTACAATTTCCGAAAAAGAATGTTCATTTTCAAATTTAGTTTCGTCAACAGACAATTGAGCGAGGCCCAAAGCGGCGATCATATCGTCAGCAACCTCCGTGCCGCTGTCCAAGGTCAACGCCTCAATTTGAGTACATATTGCACCCAATTCAATGGTCTCTTGAACCTCCTCATCTAGCTTTTGCATGAGGGCTACATAATCTACCCCACTCAAGTACGCACAACCAAATTCCCAAGCACTACTGTCACAGGAAACCTTTTCTGGCAACCTGCCTCTAGCAAGCAATGCATCCTTTCTCATGTGTGGGATCTTGTAGTTGTTCCCACCTTGATACAGAATAACCTCTTAGAGGCATCGTTGCAAGGTGAGGAAGTTCTTGTTGAGCGTTGTTGAGCTGACCTCCATCCACGCCGAATTCGTCGCAGCAACGATCTCCTCCAGGCTCCGCGAGGACTTTTCAACTTGGAGAGTCTGAATTGCGCGGAAAAATCCCAGATCCAGCACGTTCAAATCCGGCGAATTGGGAGGTTGAAACACGACCTCCATATCCCAACCATCTTCCTTGCAGGCAGCGACGAAAACAGCATCCCGCGGAGGAACGTGTGGTCGTGCGTTGTCTTGTTAAATCTTGACTTTCTTGGACTCTCCGTGAGGCCACTTGGATCGAATCGCTGGAATGACATTATCGATCAGCATTGCCTTGTACGTGTCGCGCGTGACGGCCACAGTCTTCATGATTGGCGTGCCAACATCGCGCCGTACGCTACGCCGTTGAGCAGGGACAATCTCGGTGAAGTGCCACGTGCCCAGTTTTTACCTTCGAACCATTCGTTCTTGTCTTCGTCCCAACGTGGCCGGGCAACCGCTGTCATGAACATGACCTTGAGTAGGTACTGCTTGGACTTGCATGATCGCTGCTTGATCTTCTCACCCGGGGCGCCATTGACCTTCTTCCGCAACGCGTCATGAAGAACCATGTCTCGTCGACGTGGAAAGTGTCGAGCATGGGTCGAAGAACTAGGCACCGTCGACATCTTGAACGTGCTTGATGGCCCAGTTGAGGCGGCAAACCTTGTTGGAGTCGGTGAGGGCAGGCTTCAGGACAGTGGAGTACTTGGCTATGACCCCACGCTTGAAGTAGCAGTGCAATGTAGACGTTGGAAACTTGAGGAGGTGTGCAATGGTGCGGATGCAGTAGCGACGGGATTGAGGTATAGTTTGGATGCGTTGGGACAGGTCGTCGTGCAGACGCTTGTGCCCGAGTTGCCCTTCTTGCGTTGGTGTACCCCAAGACAAATGGTCTTTTGTACTGTCAGATCGACAGCACCACGGCGTCATATGCGGCGAACAGTCGTTGGGGTGACGTCGAACATTTGGCCGATCTCAACGGCCACACCTTTGGGTATCTTGCCTTTGGGCGTGCAACGTCTCAAGATATGCTGGACTATGTTGGCGCACTCAATGTCGGTGAGGTTCTTCTTGCGCTGGCCCTTGCGCATCTTTTGGAATGGCTGCCTCATGTGCTCGCTTTGAAATGGCTGGACGATGTGTGCTGGGGTCGGTTGGTCAGCCAGAGCCCACTCAGGTCTTGGCGCGAAATTGCCGGATAGGACCAGATTATCCGGATATGCGCGGGTGGCTGCTTATAACTTGAAAATCTAAGCGCATCTGTACTTTTAAATTGTATTCCTTGACTCTCGTTGAATTCTTATTATTCGATTATGTGAAAGCTGTAGATATTCTCATTTTCGGTTAGCACCCACTTTCCTGAATCACTGGGTAATCTTACACCCACCAAACCCCAATTCTTTCATATAAAAACATGGGCTCATCGAAAAACGAACATTTATAATTGGACAGAGGTAGTATTGCCTACCTCTATGCTGATGGGACAATCCTCAGGAGCTAAAATAGGGACTATAGTTTCGGCGACACTGTTGGCGCATCGCGAACCAGTGCACTGCGTAAAAGATGCCTTGAACCTGTACAATGCCTTGAATAGACTATTGATTATATTGAAAGAAAGCGTCATTCCCGAATAGCTTCACGCAACTTATGAAACCAGTCTTGAATGAATTTGAAACTCTCTGTGTCATGCTCACTTGATGCGAACAAAACTTCCTGTTTTGAACGCAACGCTTGTCCTCAATTTACAGCTAGTCTATGATCAACTTGTGCATTGGTAGCGATGCATCAGAGAGGATAAGCCATTGTTTAAATCTGAAGAGCCTCTAGAGCCACGGAAACTGATGCATCGAACACGCTTCGGGGCGATGAAGTTTACGTCAACGAACGAAGCCGTGTGGCCGTTGTCATCGCTGGAAATCTTCACACTATCGTAGTTTAGAACCTGATAAGCTCGAGCAATCACGATGATCGGCACCTGGACCTTGACCCGTGTCGGATTTCCCTTGAGTCGGTGCACGAGAAAACTCTCCGCAAAATTGCGAGCAGCATTAAGTTTCAATGCACATTTAGGAAACTTTCTACTCAATTCAATTCATACAGAGACCTGTGTTGGCACGTTGTGTTGTGCGCAATATGTTTGGAGTGCTTGGGCTTGTTTGCTGGTGACCGAGGCGAAGGCACTGTTGATTCAACACCATGCAGCATTCATGGGTGCTACATTGGACATCCAAACGAGCGAATAATTCCGTATGGTGGTGTACCTTGAGCAAATCGTCGATGTGATGCTTTCTGTATGGACTCCTGTGAGTTGATCCCTTCATCTTCGTTCTACATTTAACAACTCTCATGAATATAAATGGAACATTCCGCCAAACATACCGGATGTACCGCGAAACTTACTAAACATAAATTGAAATTTAATGCACAGAACAGAGGGGTAGACGAAATAACGGTAAGTAATACAAACGCAATACACCTGCTTGCACGAGTGTCATGGCCTTTCCAACGGTTCCCATTCAGTTGGCTCTCAACATCGCTTTATGTTTAATCGTTAGTCGTCTCCCGGTTCTTGGCATTTAGACAAAAGCATTGGAGGTCGTTTCAAAACTTGAACTTGCGAGATATCTCTTTGTTTCGAATATTGCTGGGAATTGCAATGCATTGTAAAGTTCCCAAGGATATACATTAGGTGGGATGCAGAAATCGAGGCAGGACTGTACAACATTCTCTGGTTCGCGCACTTAAAGTTGACCAGCGGGAGTACTTTCTTGGAAACGCCTGATTCAAAAGGATTATGCGAGAATATTGGCTTTTGGGATACTATCCACAGTAAACTCTCAGGCACGATTGCAGACTAACCTACGGCACGAGATCGCTCTAGGCAGACAACTCCGCGTCAACAGTTCCGGTGCGTCTCCAGCATTTTATAATAGCAGATTCCGTCACACAGCACCACGCAATCAGTGTCCACCTCATCGCAAAATCTAAAGGAACTTCGTAGAGGCTGACTTGACTCCCCGCCATCATCTATATTGGGTTAGTGGATCATACAGTCCGACCCAAAACTATAGACGCACCCTGAAATTCTCGAGTTGGAGACTTCACCAGCCCATTTAGATAGAACCTCCTGGAACAACAGCATTCGATGACTCCTAAAGGGCTGCTCCAGAGAGCATTTCCTCACCACATCCACCGAACTAGCACATTGTTCACTTTTCAAGTTTGGTGGTGACCCAAAAATATAGACGCAGTTGCACTGGCCACGGCGAAGAATAACCTGAGCCAATCGAGTTGGCATGCCTTCAACTAAGTGCCGCAAGTACTCTTGGTCGATTTCGTTCCATGAACGGATGATTTGGGCCTTCAGACTTGCCTTGTCTTCGAACTGGCGACCATTGGCATAGACAAGCCTCGCCAAAACACCCCAAACGTTTTCAATGGGGTTGAGGTCGGGGCTTTTCGACGGCCAGTCCATAACTGGCCACGGCAGAGCCTTCAGCCACGCCATTGTTTCTCTTGACGTGTGGATACTGGCATT